TTATATTAAATTTTGAAAAAAAACAATATGAAGAGATCTCTTCACATTTATAAAATTAAGTCATTTACACTACACACATCACTGTTAACGTTTATCAACAAAAGAAAATAAATATTAATGAAAAATAGGAAAAAAAATTGATTAAACCTAACCGATTGAAAAGATATTAGACAACTACTATTTTATATTTGTAACTCTGACAATATGATGTTTAACTTTTCTGATTATGCCTTAAATGAAACAGAAATGAAAATGTTAGAACTTTGTTTAAATTTGCTATTCCTCCTTCGAAACACAGATTTCAACTATAGTCAAGACAAATGTCGATACAGCATATATGGTATGGTAATAGTGTATTATTTGATGACATTAACACTCAAACAAGTGGGATAGCTCTGTCCTCTTTTAATAATTGTAACTCTAGAGACAAATGTGCTAATATTAGTAAAAATAATTATTATCAATTAAAATAAAGCGTAAAAAAGTGTTATAATGAAACCTCACAAACAATGGCATAATTCTTTTCACTAAAGAACATTAAATTATAAAATTGAAAATATTTTGTATGACACAACATAGTTTTTAAGTTTAAAACAGACCCAACAAAAACTTCAGAAATAAAATTACAGAATTATTTATCAATAATTATATAGATACATGATTAAAAGAATAAGAACATTTTAGTGTAAAGTCATCAAGTTGACATCCAGATATGTTACATGTTCAAAATTACGCAAAGAAAGTTATCCTGTTAGATATACACTTTTTTATTTATTTTATTTATTTGTAATTAAGCACAAAGCTACACAATGGGCTATCTGTGCTCTGCCCACCACGGGTATCGAAACCCGGATTCTAGCGTTGTAAGTCCGTAGACATTCCGCTGGGCCACTGGGGGCCACTTTTTTATATATATATGTATATAAAATGAATTAAGATGCTTTGGTTAAGTTCCTTGAATAGAGATTGGCATGGTCAGATGGTTCGGGCGCTCGACTCGCAATCTGCGGGTTGCGGGTTCAAATCCCGTCACACCAAACACGCTAGCCCCTTGAGCCGTGGGGGCATTATTATGTGAACAGCTCCATCAGTTTGATGAACCAGCTAGTGAGCGATAGTGCTAACCATATCCTACAGCAGCTCCATCTGTTTGATGAACCAGCTGGTGAGAGATAGATGGTGCTAACTGGATCATATTGCAGCTCCATCAGTTTGATGAACAAACTAGTGAGCTACTGTGCTAACCGGGATTATAATGCAGCTCCATCAGTTTTATCATATATGCTGTTACGTAAAAATGAGATTATTTAGTGGCAAATCTTTTATAAAACCCATACATATAAAAATCTTATATGAGAGATCCATTTTTATGTTGTAATGCCTCTTCCACTATCTCTAATGATATATTAATTATATGTAAACTATTCAAAGATGGTTTGTTATGAATTCCGCGCTAAGCTACACGAGAGCTATCTGTGCAAGCCGTCCCTAATTTTGTAGTGTAAGACTAGAGGGAAGGCAGCTAGTCATCACACCCACCACCAACTCTTGGGCTACTCTTTTACCAACGAATAGTGGGATTAACACAAGCTAGTGAGCTATTGTGCTTAACCGGGATCATAATGCAGCTCCATCAGTTTGATGAACCAGCTGATGAGAGATGGTGCTAACCGGGATCATAATGCAGCTCCATCAGTTTGATGAACCAGCTGATGAGAGATGGTGCTAACTGGATCATATTTCCATCAGTTTGATGAATCTGCAATATGATCCAGTTAGTACCATCTCTCACCAGCTGGTTCCTCAGACTGATGGAGCTGCAATATGATCTCGGTTAGCACCACCTCTCACGATTTGGTTCATCAAACTGATGGAGCTGCAATATGATCCCGGTTAACACCATCGCTCACCAGCTGGTTCCTCTGCTACTATGAAAAACAGTGGCTAAGAAATTGTTCTTAGAGCTTCAAGCCTGTATACTATTGGAGTTAAGATTATGATGATGATTCTGTCATATTTTACTATCCAGAAGTATATTAATAATCAACACAATAGTATAAAATTCACAGTAGAACATAGCAGAAAAAACAATTTTGCTTATGCTCATGCACAATAATAACAAGAAGTATGAATGTGAAGTGTATCACACAACAAAGGTATTGGCAAATATGATTTAAACGTAAAAAAGTCACTGATATAAGCTTTTCATAGAGCTTATCTACATATCAATCTAAGAGTCATTTTTAAATTACAATAAATTGTAACTGTTTTCAGAAAATAATATTATAACTGAAGGCATCTAATGTCATATACAATTTGAAATGTAATGTTAGATATAATGGATCAACCACTAAGCAATTAGATGTTTGTTTGTTGCAGAATTATCGTCTAAATGTACACAAAGGGCCATCTCCACATAGCCGTTTCTAATTTTGAACTGATAGACTAAAAGAAAAACAGCTAAGCCAACAGCACTCATCACCAACTCTTGTTTGACAGTCATTCTCATAGCGCACCAACAGCTCCAAAGTGCGGAGCGCATTTTTGTGGTCACGGACCGCGAACTATGAATCCCCCATCCACAGTCTGACCACACTAACTACTAGGACTTGCCTCTCCCTGGAAATTAGAAACATGCATCAAATTACATGAACATTTTGTGACCAATACCAAATCGAGTATAGGTAACCGCGCACTCGGCAATAAGAAATAAGATCAGATGTATCTAGGTTCGTAATGTTTGTTGTTGTATAGGTTTTTAATTAACGTTCGCACAAGCTGAATTGTATTTTTTCTTTAACTTACCATTCTCGGCTTTTTAAATCTATCCCTATCAATCTAAAACCATATATTAATTACCTTTTCAGAATGATAATATTTTTTTAAGTAACACCCTCGCTCATCTAATCGTTTTTCTCTCAGCACAAAGTTAAACAGCATAACATGTAATCCTTCAGTTATAAGAAATACTGAACTTGGGTGCGTTTAGGATGATTACCATAAAAAGCTAAATATCCATGACAGTTTTTGCGTTTGTAATAAACATCAGTGTTTAAATAAATATCTATCATTAGATATTATTACCAAAACATGAAGAAATGAGAACTGTTCCTTATTTTTTTACTTTCACAGGATTAAGGCCATTTAGTTGAAATTGAGAGAAATCATCAAGGTTATGTAAGGGTATTTCAAAAAATCATCCAAAAACCCGAGAGTTTAAAATAACTAATATGGTGTCTTTTGACAACAGTGTCGCAGTGTATCAAACGTGTTATCTTCAAAGTAACCCATTACGACTGCGGCATATATGAGAGCTACTTCCATACCCAAAACAATGCCAGAGAATTAACGATAGATATCACCGTTAAAATCAAAAAGACAATTATCTAAAACTAAAATAAAGACATTATAAAACAATAAGGGAGTTGATTGCAAGCTATTAAAGAAGATTTAAACAACTTTCTACTAAAATATTAGTCTTCCTTGAAGTTCTTAAATTTTAAGCAAGATTAGAGTAAATTAATCCGTGACATCTTGGGCGTGGTCAAATAAATCAGTCGAAAGGGTTTGACCTCCTGAGTCCAAAACTGTAATTATATCCGAAATCGATCAAGAGATGACGATAATAGTTTTTACTTGAAAAATAAAGAACCTCCGAGCCGTTCTATTAGCCGCTATGTCGCCTATTAAAATATGATCGTTATTAGCTGAAAACAAATATAAACTGTTGTAAACTGTATGATCTCACGATGAGCGCTAGCTGGATACGTCATCCTTCTTTGAATAAAAATACATAAAAACTTGGCGATTGTTCAACCTATTATTTAATTTCGTTATTAACTCAAAGCAACTTGAAATTTTTACAATTGAAATAAACATTTACTGTTGAGATCTTGCTTTTATATTTTGTCATATACATACAATAGAAATGAAACGCTTGTCGTGTAAATTCTATCTTTATTCGAAATGTCACTTCCGCGGCTATTGAGGATTCCCCCTTGTTTAATTCTTGGATGAACAAATTTCCTACTTTAATAAAACCTGCTACAGCAAGAGGCCAATGGCTTGAATAACTTTAATAAAACCTGCTACAGCAAGATGCCAATGGCTTGAAATAAAAGGTATTACAAATATATTGTCACTGCTAGTAATAGTCGTTGTGATAATATTGTTTTATCACATTTTAGGAAAACTGAAAGATAACATTTTACAAAAATAAATTGTTGCATAAAAATATTTGGAATTGTTCGTGATGAAGAGGAACCCATTTGAAGTAAATATATAGTAAGGATGGCTGATATGGGCATTAACAACTTTTATTTAAAACAAGTAACAACGATTTGACCTCCTAAGATCATTATCAGGCTAACAAAGACTTATGAAAAATTGGCTGTCTCTATTATATATATTTGGAATTATTAATCTTGATAAAAGAGTTAGCATAAAGTGTAATAGACTTAAAATAAGACCCAAAACTCGAACGCTTTCGAATAGTTGACTATTCTTCTTCAGTCAAGAATAGTCAACTATTCGAAAGCGCTCGAGTTTTGGGTTTTATTTTAAGTTTATTTGGAATTATTGTAAGTAATTAACCATAAATACATGTATTATCTAATACCAGTTGAGCTGTGAAAATTTAAAATCTGCCATTTTTCACAGTACTGACTTAGGAATTATATTTTTGCTTTTTACACCCAAACCTCGAAAATTACAATGACTAACATCGTACAGGCTTTAAGGACATTGTAGGACCTCGCCATTGTATACATTGTAATGATTAATGATCACGAACAGTGTTTTCTTTTTGTTCTAATTGGGAAAGAGTATGATTATAAATGCTTATTTCTAATTGGGCATTAGGATTGTTAATAATTTAATTTAACTAAGCAATGCCTAACTTCATATCATGTTATGATCTACTGAAAACGTACAACAGAAATACAATAACATGCAAGTATTCAAAACTGTGGCATATTAAATAAGAAAGATGAAACTTTTACTTTTAAACCAGGATCTTGATTTTCAGGAACTTCGGCAAGATACGGATCTGTTAGAAATTTCGGCTGTTCATCGTTTATATCCTGAACTTCTATAGTGACATTTACAGTGGAATTTAATGGAGGTTCTCCGTAATCCAAAGCCTGAAATAAAAATCAGCAATAAACATTTATTTAAAGTCTAAGTTAAGCAAACATAATCGCAATAACAATAAAACTATCACTGTAATGGAAATATAACAAATTAACTTTCGAAAACTACGTTGAGTACATACTTCTGTATTTTTTTTGTAGGCTTAATATTTACTATTAGACATAGGGTGTAAACTGCGTTTAAGATGGTACTGTATAAAGTTTTTTGGGGTAAAAGTGCGAAAGACTACCACAAAATGAGTAAATGTTTTAATTCCTGAAAGAAAAAAACGGAAATTTCATTCCACAAAGTTTTATCATACACCGAATCTAATCTCCATTCCCTATATTTCAAAAATATAATTAGATTTCTAGCTAATTATCTAATTATCTCTCATTGATTTTATAATTTGAATTAACAACTTTAGTTTGAAGGATTTTGATTGCATAAACCCGGAAAACTTCACTGCACTTTATACACATAGTATTTGTGTAACTAAAAAACTTTATCTTCGGTTTCCACTAAATAATAGAAAAGTGAATAACGTACTAGCTTGTGCATCACGTCACATATTTTAACGTTTCACAAATCATGATCCTTCTACGTTTCTAGGATAAACAAGATAAATCAACATTATAAATTGTATGTAGTATCGTTAAGCGTTCGCTGATGAATATCAGAAAGCTAAGCTACTGAAAAAAAAAAATCTAAATTTAGTTGATTGAGCAAAGGCAGTGCACTCAACAATAATGGTTTCAATGTTCGAAGTTACTTGCAACTTGTTTTAATGTGCATTATGTCTGAAAAAGGTTTGTGGCTCGAGAAAACACAATATGTTCCATACCATAACAGCAAATATGAAAGATGGCTGTGTTTCCCGATCAATAACTCCTTTGACGAAGAGTTCACCGGTGTGCACATCCACCACAAACGGAAAATCTGCAAACGTAATGAGAAGAAAGCAAACGTGAAATTCTGAGAAAAAATTAGCATTTAAGTTTCATTATAAGTCTAAGGTTTAAAAATTAATTGTTGCAATAAACAGTATATTTCGTACATTTTTAACGTAGAATAGAATACTTAAATATTGTTTCAATATTTAAATCGATTTCTATCATAGACTATCTCTGAAATTCTTTCAGAGTTCACATCTGTTTATTAAATACTCTATATATAAACAACATGTAAAAAAATATTGAACAATTTTTGTAATTTTTCTTTTTCACAAATACTTATAAAAAGTATTATCTAGTAATAATATTGTGGAGGTCATAACATTGAAATTCAAACAACGTCTTTCAGAAAATACTTCCTAAAACTTTGACATTTTAATAAAAACAAATTGAAAAAAAAACAACACAAGTGATCCAGATTAAGCAGCATTTTACACCATTTAAACATAATATTTCTTGTTTATGTCATATCAAACTAGTCATTCGAGCAAACTCAGCATTGTTGTATCGTACCTTCATTAAAAGCCATCATCAAGTTATAATCGACAAGTCCATTCTTCCCCGTGTCTTGGTCCACAGCGTGAAGGACACCCACCTTCCACCGTTGCTCTCGAAAATCTCCCTCCTGTATCTTAAACATGTAATCTGGCTTGACAAAGGTTGGTCGATGGTCGTTCACGTCGGTTACAGTAATGTTAACAAATGTAGAACTCCCAAGTCCTTTCCCATCCACAGCGGTAATATTGAGAAAGTAGAAAGTTTCAGGACTTAAGTATCCTACAACATAAATCTCTCCTGAAAATGCAAATGAAAGCAATATTAACAGTGTTTTTATGTAAAACAAAAAGCCATTCATTATAGCTCTGAACCTTGTTCCCTACCAAGAGTCCAAAAGCTTAGTTTAGACGTCATCTATTTTTATAGTAAGAAATAAGATCGAACTAAAAAGTTCCATCTTTGTATTGAATAGTTAAAGTGAGAAAAAGAAGTTTTCATTTTGTTCTGGTAAAAATAAATGAAATTTTAGCTACTTTTCAGGTAGTAGAGAAGAATTATTATTAGAGAGCTGGGATACTGAGTTAAAAGATGAAGTAGGAGAAATTAGGGAAACTGTCATTTGCTTTTAAGCTAAAGATAGGCGTGTTCTTAGGAATAGGAAAATAATAACACGGAAAATCCATTCTAATTGGTATACTATAGACATCAAGGCAAAAGGCAAAGATAAATGCCACAAGGTTAAATAATTTAAATTTACAGATAGGTTGAAAGATTTACAAAACTGTAGAAAAGCTAGAAATTTGGTTGCAAAAGAAATTAGAAAATCCAAAAGAGGTTATGAGAATCAACTGGCTGATAATGTTAAAACTAACAAAAAGGATATTTTAAAGAACGTTAAAGGTAAACAGATTATTAAACTAAGAATTGAGTCCTTAAAGGATGTTGATATCAAGGCTTTTAAATGTTTTTACTGGAGAAGATATTAGTCCTGACCTGGAACAGGAAAGATTGCAATTGACCTGAATCATTTAGATGTTAACCTAGTGGTGTTAAGTAAAATAACTGACTGATTATAAAATACCAGGGTTTGAAAGAAGGTTAAAGGTTAGATATGCGATCCTCTCTCTTTTTCTCGCAGATAGCCTCGAGTAGCTTTGTGCGAATTTCAAATCAAATCAAACTCTCTTATTTATCTACGGAAGGTCAACATACAATGGATATGTTGTTTGTTATTAAGCACAAAGGGCTATCTGTGCTCTGCCCAACACGGGTATCGAAACCCGGTTTCTAGCGTTGTAAGTTCTCAGACATATCGCTGTCCCACTGGGGGGCCAAAGGATAGATACATGACGACTGTAGAGTTGCTAACGTATTCTTGTTTCTAAAGTGGGCAATAATAATTGTTTTGTATTCCCTAATGAAGGGATGCTACAAAGTGTCTGAGAATCGATCAGAAGAGCTCACAACTTTGTTCATAATCTTATTGTCCTATAAAGTTTTAATTTTCTAAAAGTGTTTCAGTTGTTCCTCAGCATATTTGATATATGAAAATACGAGATTTTCATAACGCTTATTACTCTCTTGGAATATAATCCCACTACTTCCTAATTTACATATTTCATAATTTTCTAAGGTCGATAAAATCAACATATGAAAGTAAAGTAAGTGAAATCACATAGCAAAAAAAAAAAAAAAAAAAAAAACCCGCAATTCTCTAAAAGCCTAGATTAGGATAAAAATGTAAAATGATATCCTACAATAACTATTGTTGTTGTTTTATATGTGCTATATGTGCTTTATCTAACGTGGGTAATCGAACCCTGGTTTATAGCGTTGTAACTCTGTAAAATTACCACTGAACTACCAGGGGACGCCTGCAATAATAAAATTAATTTAATATTTAGCAAGGTAGGTGCTTATGTTCAAGAGTTCTGAGATAACAAAAAATAGTACGACATGGTGCAAAAGGTGCAAGAAGAAGAAACACAGAAAACAAATGCACAAATAAACATTGAAGACAACAATTATTGACAAATTATTGACAATACAGTGCCGTGAACTAAAATGCAGTGGTAAATTGGCATCGGCCTTCGACAATTTCCCTGTATGGTATGAAGAATAAAATTCTCGAAACATTAATTAGGATATATTTACACACTCGACAAGGCAGAGAAAAAGGTATATTAAAAACAGTAACCTCCTTACAAGCATATTAAAAATGAAAGGTATCCTAAAACTATGTTTAACACAATATTTATTATGCCTTTTACTTGGATAAGGAAAAATATATGGCTTCAACTTTCAACCAGTGTTCACACGGCATCATCAGGTAACTTACTGAGACCTGAACAGAAACATTCACAATTAGGCAAGTAATAAAAACCTTGAAAGCTAAGATATTAAGAATTGACATATCACTGTGTAGAACTATTTTTGAAGAGATAAAGGGTGATGCCACAGTATTTGTTTAGGAAGGTTTTGTAAATTTCTATTCACATAGCCTCTTTACTCTTTTTTTTTTTCATGAAAAGAGTTGTTTAAACATTTGTTTAACAAGAAGTAAAAAAATGAGGAGTGGAATTCTCCGAAACTAGTCTGGCTCACAGACACACCCCCAATGAAAGAATAGACCATTCCAAGCTTTT